TTTCAATAAATTCTTATATAATTAAAAAAAATACAATTCCATATCCTATATGCGCGACAACGTCGCCTGAGGCATGTTCTGGGGGAAAGGAGGGGGTGGGGGGAGGGGGCTAACGGGCCCCTGATTGTAAGTAGTAACTGCCACTCATACGTTCCAGGGATAGGACCATGATCGGGATCGGGAGGGATCGGAGAATCGGTGTTTTCAACATGGTATGGAGTGCCATCTGCACTCGCCCCCTGTCGTCCGGTGAAGCTGTAAAGGCCAGCTGCGGCCAACAGCATTAGAGTATTCCGAAATAAAAAAAAAAGTTTTTTTTTTAGATGTTTTGCCTCCGTACCATGTAATTTCATAGCCTTATTTAATTCTTCAACTGGAGCACAGTTTGCAAAGCAAACTGGATGGAGACTGAAATAGGGGAAATCAGATATATATGTAGATGATAAAGATGGTAGAGATAAAAACTTCAGTCGATGTTATTTGTTGCCGAAGTATAGTGATGTAAATATGTAGAACAAAATTTTGTGAGTGAATTTGTCCCCGGCGACCCCACAATAACAGTTATTCTCTCTACAGGTCCACCCGTTCCGTCTCGAACACACTTTCACAAACACACACGACACCGTCCTCGCCGGCAAAGACGGCGACCTCAACCACATCATACCGCGTAATCAACCAGGCGCTTTCGCGGGGCACTCCACACCGGTGACCCCGGTCGATCCCCCGTCCAATTCAAATGGGGATCGAAAATACAACGGTTTGAGCCGAGGTTCGAACCCCTAGCGTTGCCCTCAGAATAAAGTCATATCCGTCAGGAGGGTGTTGTCTTTCAACCTCTCCATAAGTGCTTCCGCGTGTTGTGAGCGCCATCTGCATTTGCCCCCTATCGTCCGGTGACGCTGTAAAGGCCAGCTGCCGCCTACACCATTAGATTTGTCCGAAACAAAAACAAACTTTCTGTAACAGTAGTAAGAGTTATTCTTATTCAATAAGCCCTTGACAGAATGGTCCAATACGAAGACCGATACGAATAATCATACTCATGAATACAATTGTTTGCACCGTGCAAGTAATCGAACCTGCGACCATTGGGAGTAAAGCGTTGTAACCGCAGAGACCGCTCTCTATTTCTCCCCTCATCATACGTACGTTCGTATGGACGACATCACGTTATCATGTGACATCCGTAATATCGTTCCTAATTTTCCATTTCCGAGGACTAAGATGTCATGTCTCTTACCCTGTAATATGACAGACTAATTGTAACGTACAAACGAAAAATAAACTTAATATAAATAAACTTCTAAAGCAAGCTTGGTAGGTAAAATTAATGAGATTTGAGTAGGTATGCATGCAGGCGATTTTTTCTGTCTACCTCTCTTTCTTTTTAATGTCGGTTATAAATGACATTACCGGGCTGTTGTAAATAAAAACATTAATTATCTGTTGAAAACGTCTAAAAACAACTGTCTAAAAACGTGAGTGTTTTAACAATGTTACATAAATAGAAAATTATGGTAGCGCTATTAATAGTATTTCATTAAGTAAAGCGAAATAAATGGAGAATAGTAAAAAGTGTAATTAGCGCCATCTAGTGTGTCAAGCTAGAACTATAAAGTACTTTTACACGCAACTGTGTTCTCTTTCTTTGTGATAGAAAATACAGAACTAGTCGATAGATGGCGTTGAAGAGATATAATCTATTTAATAGACTTAAGTTCCACACCCTTAAGCGTAACCGCTTATGTCAACCTCATTTGGACATTGACAGACAATATTAATTTAAAATATATTTATCAATTAAAATTTTTATAGCATTTCATCCTCGCGGTCATAGTGTTGCTCTTTAAGTGATTCTCCACGGAGAAGCATGACCCATTTTGTGTTGCTCTGACATACATATGCAGTTTACCGTACCGTAGATACAAATATTATCTATCTATCTCTTATGTTTATAACTATTTCAGCCCCCAAGCAGCTGGCTTTGTAAAGTGTAAAGCTTCAGTTAAAGGGTAAGGTAAAGTAATAAAACTACAGAATATATGAGAGATGTTACAAGTACAAGATACAGTGATTTATGTAAGGTGGCTGTAGGCCATGATTACCAGTTACCATCAGTTGACCGGCTTGTTTGCCATTTTTAGCAGTTAGTAATTTCTTTAATCAAATACAATAAAAATCTCATTCATTCATCAATTTATAATTTATGAGAGACGCTCTTGTTGGTAGAGCTCCTGTCACTTTCAACGATCTTCCATATTACTGGTTAAACGTTGATACATTCGCTTGATGTAGTTATTTCTTGGTTTTCCCCTTACCCTCTTTTCTTCTGTCTTTCCCTCTAAAATAACTTTCAAAAATTCATCATGACGTATCAAAGGTTCTGATATTTTTTCTCGTCTATTTTCTAAAGAATATATCTGCCTTTTTTCTTTCATATCCCATATAATACACCTTCATTTCTTACGTTATCCTTCCATTATTTTCGGACTACTCTAATGCTGTTGGCCGCAGCTGGCCTTTACAGCTTCACCGGACGTTAGGGGACGAGTGCAGATGGCACTCCAACCCGCGGAAGGACTTATGGAGCGGTTGAAGGCCAACTCCTGCCTGATGGATACGACTTTAGTCTGAGGGCACCACTAGGGGTTCGAACCTCGGCTCAGGCCGTCGTAATTTCGATCCCCGTTTGAATTGGACGAGGGATCGATGCTTTCCATCCTTCTCCAACACCACATTTGAAAAGCTTCCAGTCTGTCCCATTCAAAAAATCTAATAAGATTAAAGAATATATTTTTCAATGTAAATCGATAAAATGTTACTATTATTTTGTAACTAGTGTAATCATTTACAATTCACCCACAATACGTTGCAACATAAAGCACGTTCTTGCAACTGCAGCAAAGTCGAATAAACGTACACAAATGTTCCTGTATTTAAACTGCATTGCACCAACGTTACCTAAGTATTGTAGTTGCATACTAGACTCTATGGCAATCGATTTAGATCTTAACTTCCTAATCCTATTATTATGTTTAAATTTAACATGACATGTTAGTAGAATCATAAGGAGTATGTAAAGAAATCTGTAGCCTGTCAAAGTCTGACTACGAGTAATATCCATACGAGTGTATTTGTATACATAATATGGCTGTATGTCAATCGCATGGTAATTTAGTGTTTTTCTTTCATTCAGTTAGTATATTTTAAAGGCATAATTATTAAAAAAATATTTACAATCTACTCTTTCTCCATATAAACTTAGTTATCTGCTTTGTACATAAAGCTCTGTCTCACCTATTTCGGCGGCCAACTTGCATTGTAAGATGCGTTTTGATTTTAGAATGAGATAAGGCAGTGAATTTACAGGATACGTAGGTATGACATTTAGTCTTCCTGAATGAGTTCGGCCATATACAACGGTTATGATATTTGACGGGTAATACATACAAATAAGATAAATGTGATCGCTTGAAGATTAGGATATTTGTCACTCAATCAATTATACACTATATGATGAATTACAATAAAACTAAGTACATGGATAAATCATAGTCTGATATTGTTGAACGTTCTATATCCAAGTGCCCCTCCGATCGATCCCCCGTCCAATTCAAACGGGGATCGATATTTCGGCGGCCTGAGCCGAGGATCGAATCCCTAGCGGTGCCCTCACACTAAAAGCATATCCGTCAGGCGGGAGTTGGCCTTCAGCCGCAACAAAAGTCCTTCCGCAGGTTTTGAGTGTCATCTGCACACACACACCCTATCGTCCAATGAAGCTGCAAATACCAGCTGCGGCCAACAGCATTAGAGTAGTCCGAAAAAAATATCCCACTTTTTGTTGGGTGTCACTACACCGACCACGGTAATGTACCTGTCCCGCCTGCACCACACCATCCAGGAACAGGACATCGTCGACTATATCCAGACCAAGAGTAACCTAAACCTGAGGGTGACGCAGCTGGTATCGAGTCACAACGCAAGCTTCAGCATTTGTGGACCGGTTCTCCACCAACACCCACCTTTATGAAGGAAGACCACTGTCCGAAGGGAGTGGTGTACCGCCGCTACCATGACAAATTTCCATAGTCAATATAGTGACCACAAAGATAATATTATTATTTTATATATACATGTTAGTCCTTAAGGTATATTGTAATATATACCAATATTGTTATATAAATAATATTAAGTTGCTTGAAGAAAATAAATAAATATATATAATCAAATTGAATATCTAACGGACTTTTTTAAAAGAATTTTATATGAATATTTTTTGTTGTAAATATATTTTTATGAGTTACAAATAGAAGTAATAAAGGCTTGACACCTAAAAAATATTCTAATCTCCAGTGATGTCTATCTATAATAACTGTAGATTAACTGAGAATAAGAAAGTTGCTGTTGCACTCGAGAAATGTGCATAAAATCGCCGGTAGGTATAACTACTAGTTAAATATTTAAACCTTTTCAGTCTGTAGCCTCACAATTCACTTGCAATATTTATCTTTAGAAACGTTAGAATATTTGAGTAGGTTCGTTAGACATTTTTACCACTCGTAATTAGTTATTCAAAGCAACTGCGCAAAATAATGTCATAATATCGAGTGACATTATTTTCTATGCTCTTATCGTACAAAAAGAATATTAAAATACAATCAAACTGCACAACAACCATTAAAGTGTAGTTTAGTGTACAAAATAAATCAAACCTTCAACAGAAAATCAATATAACAGCAATTTAGATTCGAATTAACCTAGAGAAAATGTCAATTTTCGCGCCAAATTTTCAAACGTCAGTCAGCCATGTTGTATTAGCTTATTGGCGCATTTGCGAGGGTTGTTTATTAGTTGAACGGACGGATATATCGTCGTCTCACTCTACCTCCGTTACATAATACGGAAATGGGTGAGCAGTGTAACGTTTCAACAGAGTTCCGCATGCGGCCGCGGCCTCCAGGGCGATTATTGATTTTTCACCGAGTTTGCGGCAGTCTCCTAACACGCCGGTCCCCAGCGCGAAAAACACATCCTTCGCGCTTCGCGTTATAATAAATATCACTATATTAAAAAAAACTGAGACAAGACAATAATATTTAAAAAAAATAAACAAAATCACGCATACAGTAATCAGTTAATTGAGTGTGCAACCTTTGTGCTGGAAAACTATTTTCGTAAGTATCCTTTCGTCATATTTTTATTTCTAGAAACCATTTCAATCACTTTTATTCCTATATAAAGATTCCTATAACAATTCTATAGCGAATTTACGAGATTGCAATGAAAACTAAATTCGTTTTTGGGTTAATTCAAGGCTGTTAATTAACATCAGCTGATAGGCACACCAGGTGAACTAAATGTCAAAATGGACATATTTTCATAGACATTTTGTTCTTGTTTATAAAATTAATATAAAACATAGATAATTTTTAATATCCTTACCAGTCTATCCATTGTCGAATTTTGTCTGTACACTCTCGCTCTATGCACTGTGTGATGTACATTCATTTTGTCTCACAATTTTTATAAACTCGAATTAAAAAGTAAAATTTTAATTAAAGAAATCCTTTGGCACGTTCAAATCACTCCAGTGTAAGTCTGTCACTGATACTGACACTATCGCATTATTGCATATACATCGCTGTTCCTATAAAGAGCTAGATAGACTTAACTATGAATCGATAGGCAATGTATGTTGGGTAGAAGGAGTCTGACTGAATCGAGATGGTCACGTGACGTCATGGATCGTTAGCAGCCCCATGATATTAAGTGTGGTGACGTCACCCGTCCTCGGAAACCCTCGGGATAATGTGTTGGCATATGGAATTACGACTATATTAAGTCGTGATGATGCCATTGTTGAGCTATGTATGCAGACGATTATGGTTATGTTAACACAAGTTATGGAATTTTCTGCGAAGCGTACGAACTTTTGAAATAATTTATGTTCCACTAGCTGTACCCGACTACATCCGCGTGGAGTTTAACTTAATTTTTCTAAAATAAAAGATTAAAAAAAATAAAAGTAGACTAAGTTTCAGCCATTTCAGAGATTAAACAAACAACAGACAGATCGATAAAATTTTTTTAAAATGTACCGTATTTATATTCATATGCATGTAGTAAAAACGGTTATTTCAATATTTCAAACAGACTCTCCAATTTTATTTATATGTATACATAAAACTTCTTTGTTTACTGAATCGTTTTAATCAATGTAGATTTTATTGTTATATCAAGACTTGACATTAAAGGAGTTTGATCCGATTTTCCAAACGAGGTTTATATCAGCTATCATTCAGTCATAAAAAGGCCATCCAACCAAAAGCAATCGGGTTAAAGGTCATTGGAATTATAAATGTAGCCCTTGATTAAGGTTTAATCCCAAGTAAAATGATTTTCTGTTACCAACACACTCATGATGTTAATGATTAGTCAAATCTATTGATAATTTAGACTACAATTACAACCTAGAACAAGCGCAGACTGCTCATTATATTTTACTAATATTATAAACGCGAAAGTTTATGGATGGATGGATGTTTGTAACTCTTTCAAGCAAAAACTACTGAACAGATTTTGATGAGACTTTACAGTAATTTAGCTTATATTTTAGAATAACACATAGGCTATAATTTAAATAAGATATTATGTAAATTGGGCGAAATAAAGTGATAAATGTCAAGTAAGATTGATGCAGACGAAGTTACGCGGATCAGCTGGTTATACATAATCTTAGTAATACATATTAAAGCTTAAATTGAGAGTGTATATAGTGACCATCCGATTATTTATTTATTTATATTTATAAACTCTTTATTGCACCAAAGATGTTTGGTGCATAAGAATAAGAATTCAAAACTTCTGTTAAACCATATTTACTCAGCAAAAACGATTACTTGAATACAATAGTTGTTCATGCACGGGATTTTCCTTTATATTACACTTATATAATAACACTGTAAAAAAACTAACGTTTAAAAAAATTACAAAAATAATTGAGTTCCTTGCCAGTTCTTCTCAATTGGATCTATATACTGAAAGGGACGGTAGGGAAAAAAATATACGTTCATAAAAAATTTGACGTTCATAAGCTGTTAAAATGTCCTACATGAATAAATTATTTTTGAATTTGAATTTACTAATTACACTGATAAGATATATTGATGTACAAGATGCAGTCTTATCGCAAGTACGCAATCTCTTCCAGACAACCTTTGAGTAGAGAAGTATAGACCAGCCCTTTGTGTCCAGCATGAAAGACCTGAACAGAGTACCGATTGTGCCATTGTAGTTGCCAACTTCTGATCTAGACATATTTAGGTCTATTATTGACACGAAAGAAGAAGAAAGAAAGAAAGAAATATATATAGTTAAACGTATTTTACCACGAATAATTAAATAAATACGAGGAGTCTCGAGATCACGGCTAGTACAACCTAGTCTAAACGTTAAGAGAGATTAATACTTCATTTATCATTAAATGATTTGTGTTAAAACCTGTTTAACTACATTATTAATGTGTACTAAACGAGAAATTTCAAAAGGAGGAAAAAGATAACTAAGAATTTACTTCTTTTCCCATTTACATAAGAAAAGAAATAACATAGAATTCAATGTAATGTAAATTGGACATTATTTTCCGCAATCAACCTCTCATCAGGGCCGTTGTATGTGTAGAGCCGAGACTACTAAAGTAGCCAGCCAAGATCCTCCCAGAAGCGCAGAAGTCTCCTGGTATCTTTACAGGCTTCACGGAGCGACCTGACCGTTCCGAGAATTTGTGTTCGCTGTGTGCCCACTGCTACGCTCTCCAGGATTACGTGAGCGGCCATTTCTCGGCTTCAAAGCACCCCCGATAACGAGGAGAATCTATACTTATAAATAAAATTGGAGTGTCTGTTTGTAATATAGAAATAACCGTTTTTTACTACATGCATGTGAATATATATACGGTACATATACCAAATTAACATTTTTTATAATTTTTGTCTGTCTGTCTATCAGTTTGTTCCGGGTAATCTCTGAAATGGATGAACCGATTTTGACACAACTTTTTTAGCAGGTAGCTGATGTACCTAATAAGGAGTAACATAGGCTACTTTTATTTTAGAAAAATAACAGTTTGTTCCGGGTAATCTCTGAAATGGCGGGACAGATTTTGACGCAACTTTTTTTGGCAGGTAGCTGATGTAATAAGGAGTAAGTTAGGCTACTTTTATTTTAGAAAAATAAGTTAAATTCCACGCGGACAAAAGCTAGGACACAATAAAAATAACATAGGATAGAATAGAATTTATTAAAGCAGACACCACAATACATGGTTATGAAGAAGATCACAACAACATTATTAAGGAAAGAAATAAACACGTATAAAGAAAACTTATACAATAGAAAAATATATAGTTCTATTTATACCCAAAGGTTAGGTTGTAGAGAATGCCTAATGGCATTGAGGTCGCCTATTGTATACGTTTTATTATACAACTAGCTGACACTCGCAATTTCGTCTGCATTTCATTTCCCTACTTTTTGCAATATTTTTCATTGCAGCTCCGCTCCTATTGGTCGTAGCGTAATGTTATATAGCTTATAGCCTTCCTCGACAAATGTATAAAAAGAATTTTTCAATTGGAACCCCTAGTTCCTGAGATTAGCGCGTTCAAACAAGTAGTATAGATAAAGAAATTCAAAAATGTGTTTTTCGCATTCATATACTTGTCTATAGCTACATATATGAAGCCTAAATGTATGGGGAACATGGCTATGGTTGTTCATGCACGGGATTGTCATTTGATGTTAGACATAGACATCTACGTAAGTACAAAATGTAACTAAAATTTCTTTTAAAAAAAATTAAAAACAGTTGAATTTCTCGTCAGTTCTTCTCAAATAAAACGATATACTGAACTGAATGGCAAGGAAAAAATTATAATACAAAAAAATGTACGTTCATAAGCGGCTAAAATGTTATACATGAATAAATTAATTTTATTTCATTTGATTCGATTTATGTAACGGTTGCTACTATCAGGTATGCAATTCACTTGTCTACATTCTAATGATGATGAATTAAATAAGAATAGAAAATAATCTCCAAAAAAACCTCCAACCTTCAACCTCCGAGTAATGAGGTATTTCAAAGCAGATATTACCAAATGAACGACTTCATTGTTCGTTTGATTATGATCGTAAAAGAAAACTGCCCGCCATATGGTAGATAATGACAGTTGTTGACTGTATTCGTAATATGGAAGTAACGAGAGAGGTTAATGATCATAATATTGATTAGAAATCTTATTCAAATTCAAAATATCTTTATTCATGTAGGTCTATTACATACTCTTATGATATGTCAAATCTACCGTCACTTCAGAAAGATTTCGCGACGAGAAAAACTGACAAGAAACTCAGCTCGTATTCTTTTCAAATAAATATTTTACATGTTAACAATACTTATATATAAAAACAGAAATCCTGATTCATCAACGGCCACCTTATCTTATGATATGTCAAATCTACTGTGAGTTCGGATTGATTTCGCGACGAGAAAAACTGATAAGAAACTCAGCTAGTATTCTTTTCAAATAAATGTTTTTCATGTTTACAATACTTATATATAAAAACAGAAATCCTGATTCATCAACGGCCACCTTATCTTATGATATGTCAAATCTACCGTCAGTTCGGAATGCTTTCGAGATGAGAAAAACTGACAAGAAACTCAGCTCGTATTCTTTTCAAATAAATGATTTACATTTTTACAATTCTTATATTATTATATAAAAACAGATCCTAATTTATCAACGGCCATTTTAAACCGAAATTTAAATTTATCCCAAGAACTTTAGAAGTCCTTGGACCTAATATTCTTCTGAGAAGAAATTCAGCTTACTAGGTTTTCAGCTTCCAAATATTTAGTTTATGAGTTGATTTAACTTAAACGAGGCAAAGAAAGGATTTTACTAACTCTAATACGCTACTAAGAATCCGATATTGAAACCTTCAAGAAAAGAGCTTCTTTCTTAAAATTCCGGCAACGCACTTGCAATTTCCAATCAAATTGTAAAGTGAAAATAGGAAGAAATAAAATTATTATTATAAATGCTAACAATGTGTATGTAACCATACATGATAGCAGTCGTGAAGGTATGTGGTGATGGAGATATTCAGTAGATTATATACAGCAGCAAATATAATTTATACTCGATCTGATTCAGTTGCTCGTTACATATAAACTGTTACTTAGCAACATGATTACTTATTTTAAATGTGATGGATTATTTTAAATGTCTTAAATGTAATGGATTAAGGGTAATCCACTAAATTTAAGACACTCTACATCTCTACATTTAAATAACATACATAATATAAAACAATATACAGAAGAGTAAACAATAGAACAATAGTAACAAAACATATCCGAAATTAGATCTATTAAAATGCTAATTACTAGTTATAGTTGGACCTATCTGTCTAATAATCTGTTGAGAACGTAGACTATAGGTTGCTGATATGCTGATGCTGATTGCTGATGAAAACAGCTTTTTCTGAACCAAACTTATTATAGAATAGAATAGAAAATCCTTTATTCAAATAAACATAATTTAAGCACTTTTGAATACTCTTAACAATTTGTTTACTTCACCGCTCATTTGTAAAGCTGTCTCATCACAAGAAGAACGAGCAATAAACTTGTGTGTTGCTCTTTTAAATAATCGTTGTAAATTTACATTTTTCAAGTCGAAACGTGTGAACACAAATTACCAACTAGCACTAATTTATTAGGGTCAAATATAAATATACAATAAGATTAAATCAGTCGTAGTGATTAGAGCAGACCAGTCCCTACAAGCAGCACTCGTATACGAGCATAACGTATGAGTTAGGCATCACTGCGCTCGACCATATTTTAGGGTTATTATATTTAAATCCCTTGAATTTAATTACAATGAGCAACGTATGATAGACAAATTCATGAAAAAAAATCAGAGAGAAATAAGAATCAAGGTGCCACCCTATCGCACTTATGTATTGCTATTACCATAGACTCAAAACATGAAATAATTTGATCATATTAGGTGTTATTTTGCGGAAGTCCATTTCACTACTCGATGGATTTATATTATTTTGTTTAATTCCGCCACAATTAGCATGTGTGAGACCACAAATATGTGGTGTGGTAACTTGACCACCGCTACGACCTTCTCTATTGGATACTACAGCTATATGTGATACGGGTTTTGAGACATCATCAGGCATTGAATAGAGTTCGGATATAGCTTGGAAGCCTAGTGTGGACGACCGGTCGCGGTTTGGTCGCAGAAGAGTAGCAATATGGGTGTAGACTTAATAACGATCGGAATATGATCGCCACTAGAAAAGGTTGTAACGGTAGTCAAGTTTCCACACCGAATGTTTGTGGTATCACACATGCTATTTGTAGTGGAATTAAACAAAATAATAAAATAATAATTTGTCGCTAGCAACAACTTCTTTTTTCAGAAGTTGGATAATAATTGCAGTCTATTCAACTCGCCTTCGAGCTTATTTACTCTAGTGGAACGTTCCATGCACAAAATTAAATTTGATTGAATGGCCTGAAGCATCCACTGAATAAGTTATAATAAGCACTCGCTGAATACAAGTAACGAGATGTACGCGTATGTTATATATGTATGCATTTATACATAACTATATTATCAGAATGGAGATTTACCATTGTTTATTTAGAAGAAGTCTAATTTTTACTGTGAGATGATTTACTTATTTAATGGAGTTATTTATAATAATAAGAATAATAATCCTGAACAAATAACACATCCAGTCCCACGACCTTACCAAGACGACGACTTGACCAAGAAGACCTTATGTTATAGGTACTAGACAACTGATATAAATACTTAGAATTTTTTTTAAATACGTACATAATATACATAGGAACACTTAGATTGATACAAACAATCATAGTCATGTATGTTTGCATAGTACGAGAAATTGAAACCGCGACCAAGCGATAAAGCGCTGTACTGAATCGCTAGACCACGGAAGCTGTCAAAAGTCGTAACGGAGATGGAATCTGCTGTTTATCACAATCAGTTATAATCACGCGAATGCAGTCGTATGCAGAAACTAGTGAAACACAAATAAAATCAAGTCTTTACTTACATGGCCGTACATTTAAAAAGATGCAATCTTCAAACTTCATCCCAAAACATATTGGAACAAAGTTATTTGGCATTCTGCCGCGACTAGCAGAAAGTAGTGATGAGTTTTTGTTTTATTTTTATCATTGCAGCCAGACATTCATGATTCAAACCATTTCTAGTGTAGTATCTGTACGTAAAATTTAAGCAGCTTGCAGAGATTCATTCATTTGGGCACGTGCCAATGTTATTTAAAAGAAAGGATACCTGTATAATTTTCTTTACTTTGATTGATTAAATTCAAATTAAAAAATTCATTTATTCATATAGGACATTTTAATCGCATATGAACGTCTAATTTTTGTATTCATATTTTTCCTCACCGTTCAGCATACAATTTCAATTGAGAAGAACTGGCATCTGATTTTGTTAAGTGTCTATGTCTAACATTAATTGAAAATCCCGAAAATTAATTGAAATTAATTTGCGTGCAATGAACGTGCGATGCAATAATTTCAATTAATTATTTAATTGAAATTAATTAATTAATTGAAATTATTGCAATGCACGTTCGTCAGTCAAGTAATTGTTTAGTGTGTATGGGCTTTGCTCAACAAATATGATTTGACAATTGTTTTAAATTTCCAATATATTCTTAGAATAGAATAGAATAGAAAATCATTTATTCAAATAAACTTAATTTAAGCACTTTTGAATAGTCAACATTTTTTTTTTAATCTTTCGGAAAGCTGTCTCATCACAAGAAGAATAAGCAAGAATCTTGTGTGTTGCTCTTTTAAATAATCCTTGTAAGTTCACATTTTACAAATCGAAACGTGTGAATACAAACTACCAACTAGCACTAATTTATTTAGTCTCAAATATAAAAACACAATAAGATTAAATCAGTCGTAGTAATAAGAACAGACCAGTCCCTACAAGCAGCACTCGTTCATGAGTATGTCGGATGAGCCAGCCATCACTGGGCTCGACCATATTTTAGGGAGCCCTTCGATATCGTATTGTAAATTTTTATACCCATTCTCATAAAAGACCCATTGAATAAATGATTTGATTAGAAAACAACATGTTACGTAACGGGCTCTACCGCCATCTATCGAATATTAATAATAATATTTTTGCCTCATCATAATCACAATATGGAATATTGTCCCTCCGGTATGAATTTAAACCATGTATCGAACTCAGAACTTTTAGGTTCAAATCGGCGTTGTTAAACACTAGGGCACTGCGCTCTATTTTAATTGCCATTCGTGTTAAGACCCGACAAACTGGGTATATTAATAATCTTTAATAAAAGTGCTGAAACTTACAAAACCTCAAACAATATTTCAACAAAGTAACAATATTTACAAACCAGTTGGCCAGTTGCCAGAGGGAGTATTATCGCGTGCAAAAACCACAATACTCAAATAATAATATTTCGGGTTCAGAATTATTTTCATGATATTGAAATTGATATCATCCGTCATACTCGTGAACGGGTGCAGCCCTTGGAGACTAATCTGTTCGGGTTTACAAACACTGATTAGACTATTTGCTTTTGCAATAGCATACGCTGGTGGAATAGAGTGATCTATTCTCCCAAATTTGAATTTAAAAATGAATCTGTATTATTGTAATCATCATCATCATCATCATCATATCTCGAAATCATTCCGAGCTGACGGTAGATTTGACATATGATAAGAGTCTGTAATAGACCTACATGAATAAAGATATTTTGAATTTGAATCGAAACCTTCAACAAAGAGTAGATACCTTCTTAAAAAGCTGGCAACGCACTTGCAATTCCCCTATTGCAGGTGCTAATGGGCGGCGGTAATCATCAGGTGAGCCGCAAGCTCGTTTGTCCCCTACGCTATTAATAAATGATAATTGAACTCTTTTTGTCCTATGTTACTTTGCCTATGTCCAACAGTGGACGTCCTCCGGGCTGCGATGATGATGATGATGATGATGAACTCTCTTTTACCCAGTCGACCTTTAATTTTTTGACTGGATTTATATTGATTAAATTCGGATACTCATTCATGTTATGTCAGTAAACAATAATATGTGCTTAGCTTGGGACTAGATGGCGCTGTTTGAATTGTCCTAATATATTTTTTGTACACCTACTACGTAAAATATGGTGACTTAAATATTTTATTACAAGAACTCATGTTTAATCAAATAAAGCATTGAATCGAATTCAAATTCAAAAATATGTATATGTAGGACATTTTAGCTGCTTATGAACGTAAAATTTTTTATATTATAATTTTTTCCCTATCGTCCTGTTCAGTATATACATCCAATTGAGAAGAACTGGCACTCAATTCAATATTTTTTTTTAATAGCCAGTTTATTTACAATGTATATTTATATGTTTACGTGTCTTATGTCTAATATTAAATGAAAATCCCGAACATGAACAACTATTGCCATGCACGCTCGTTATTTAAGTAATCGTTTAGTGATCGGCTTTGCTCAGTAAATATGATTGAACAGGTGTTTGTTGTCGAAATAGAAAAACTGAATATTTCCTCATTTCCACTTTACTGTTTCCTCATTTCCAGCAGCGAATGCCCCAAGAGATCAACAGCCGTAGGGCATAGACATCAGCCCCGTTGACGCCGGCCCGGAGGCAGCACACAGATGATCGGCTCATTTTGGAACCTGTGCCGCGCGTGTCCATCCATGCCCGTTGATAAGGTACACCTTTAACATTCAACAATAAAAATAATCATAATGGACGACCTCGGTGGTCTATCGGTTAAGTTCACTACCTTACTTATAATGGTATCGGTTCAATTCCTGGAATGATATATTTAAATTCATAGTATAAGAATATCTAATGTTGTTTATGGACCATAGTATAAAATCTGCTTAATTCTGGACTAGATGGCGTTGTGTATATTGCCAAGGTTATTTTTATTTAAATAAGTAACTTCCGAACTTCAAAATTGTAATTTAGTGTGTGATAGACACACTTAAATACATTTTTTATTTATGTCATGTATTTATATGGAAAACTATTAAAAACAAAACAACCCTCAAGCGTACGAAAATTTGTATTACACGGGAATTGAATCAGCGACCATTGTTATTAAGAAGGTAATCCTGTATACTACTGTGCGCGACTTTTTAAAAGTAACCATTGATAAGTATATTGTTTGATTGCCATACCTCATATAAAAAAAACAAATAATAGTCTTAGCCAATTGTAATGCAGTTAATTTCCATATACTGCAGTAAGTAATAATTAAATATTAATTAAGTGGTACTCATATTTTATAATACATGCTTCTACAATAGAGTTCAGCGCGTTTAGTATCGTAAACGCTTAATAATTTATTACCATTGTAATAATGATGCAATTACGTTGTAAAAAGTATAACTTTTTAATGGAAACACGAACGTTATTGTTTTATACTTTTTATATTAGATTGCGTTGTGGTTTATATTAATAAATAACTAACACTGAACAATTAACACAGCGCCTTCTAGTCCCACGGTAAGCTGAGATTGTGTTATGGGTACTAGACAACTGATATAAATGGTTAGATTTCTATTTGTAAATACATATATAATATAAACACACAAATGGACAAAAACACAGATGAATACAAATGTTTGCACCGTGCGAGGAATCGAACCCACTACTATCGGTAGTAAAGCGGTGTGCTGCGGTTAAACCACCGAGGCTGTCATTAATAAATTACAACTATTGTAATAATGATGCAATTACGTTGTAAAAAGTATAACTTTTATGGAAACACGAACGTTATTGTTTTATACTTTTTATATTAGATTGCGTTGTGGTTTAGTGGTTTACCGCCTTTTTTAACCATACTTATTGACTGATGTTTGCAAATTTAAAAAGATAATCAAATACAAATTGCAGCACTAATGAATTGTATCGAAAAGGTCACCGCTCAGCATATGCTGGGACTGGGAACATCAATTTATATATCTAATAGCTGTCTGTACCCTCGACTTCGTCCTCGTGGAATTTAACTTTATTTTTCTAAAATAAAGGAATATTTTAAAATAAAGGTAGCCTACGTTACTCCTTATTACATAAGCTACCTGCCAAAAAAAAGTCCCGTCAAAATCGTTCCAGCCATTTCAGAGATTAGCCGGAACAAACGGACAGACAGACAGACAGACAAAAATTGTAAAAAAAATATTTTGGTGTATGTACTTACCGTATTTATATTCAAGTGTATGTAGTAAAAAACGGTTATTTCAATATTATAAACAGATACTCCGATTTTATTTATATGTATAGATGTATAGATGTATTGATTATTACCCAACTAACGAAAATTTTAAGTGAATTAACTTTATCTTATGTATATGTTGTTATTTACTTATTAATTGTAATGTAAGGTTTTTGATTTCTATAAAACAGGATATTATTGTATTAAACACCGTAACAATTTTTTTTCCAAATCATTCTAATGCTATATGACAGTATCTGACCTTTATATACCTTCAACGAATGATAATGTAGATGTAGCATTCAAACCCTGTGGAAGGACTTTTGGAACGGCTGAAGGCCAACTTCTACTTGACTGATACGGACTTTGGCCTTAGGGCACCCGCTAGGGACTCATAATTTCGATCCCTGTATGAATTGGCCGGAGGATCGATCGGAGGAATACAATTTCTTTTTTTTTTCGGAGTACTCTAATGCTGTTGGCCGCAGCTGGCCTTTACAGCTTCACCGGACGATAGGGGGCGAGTGCAGATGGCCACTCCAAACCTGCGGAAGGACTTATATGGAGCGGCTGAAGGCCAACTCCCGCCTAAGGGATACGACTTTAGTCTAAGGGCACCTGCTAGGGGTTCGAACTTCGGCTCAGGCCGTCGTAACATCGGTCCCTGTTTGAATTAAGCGGGGGATCGATCGGAGGGGAAAATATCGATGTTTGTTGAGGATCGAACCACGGACCTCTTTGTCATCAACTTTTAAAAAGTGGTCTAGCAGCCGTTATGCTATCGGATATCTAATACAATTTCAAGTATGCAATGTTATATATACTAGTTAATTTGAAAAATTTTGTTAGCGAGTTTTAGGATACCGTTTAATTATATATGAAATAGTTGTTATATATGAACGGTATTATAAATGAAACGGTGCAAATTATTCAAAGATCAGGCATAATCAAAATAATAATTGCCAATCTCTGTTTTGATATTGTTATCATGAATTATCTTTTTATGGTTCATCTCTAAGTTTTCAATGTAGACGTCATCATAACTAGGGTTACCATTCATACAGATTTTTCCGGACAAGTAATAGAAAATTTGTAACTAAGTCATCTGAATAGATATCGCTGTCTCGCCTGCTTTTTCCGAAAAGAGTGAGATAGAGCAGTGAAAATAACGGGTATGGATTTTCAAGTCGATTCTCAGAAATGACTATGCACTTTCATACTTACATCTCTTGATTTTGGTTAGAAATTGCCATGCGGTTTTTTTATGGAAGATAATGGAATGAAACCTCTTTTTGGAAACCGTTTTTTGCTGTAAAATTATTTAAAAATAAAAAAAAAACTTCTTTTCTATGTTTCAGAAAAGTCTAATATTTATTATTTATATTATTAACTAACTACTCGCCCCGGCTTCGCACGAATGTACATGTATTGTCCTCTTGAATCACTCTATCTATTAAAAATGTCCGCATCAAAATCCGTTGCGTAGTTTTAAAGATTTAAGCATACATAGGGACGGACAGACAGCGACAGCGACTTTCATTTATACTATGTAATGATGTCTTTAAATATATAAAAAAGTTAGATAAACTGGTTTATATCTTTTTGATTACAAATAATTTTATAATTTTTATTCAAATAGATGTTTCATGTGCTAACTAAAATGTAGTTACCAGTTTTGTTGAAACCACAAATTGATAAAGAAATAATAAGTTACAATTAATAATAAGTAAAAATAATGTTACAATTTGAAAATAATTTGTATGACATTTTTGACGAGATATGAGAAACATATCTCATCAAAAATGTCATAACTTTTCGGACTATGACATTTTTGACGAGATATGAGAAACATATCTCATCAAAAATGTTATGACATTTTTGACGAGATATGAGAAACATATCTCATCAAAAATGTCATAACTTTTCTAATAATTTGTATGACATTTTTGACGAGATATGAGAAACATATCTCATCAAAAATGTCATAACTTTTCTAATAATTTTTATGACATTTTTGATGAGATATGAGAAACATATCTCATCAATAATGTCATATCTTTTCTAATAATTTGTATGACATTTTTGATGAGATATGAGAAATATATCTCATCAAAAATGTCATAACTTTTCTAATAATTTGTCCGGACTTATTATTTTCAAATTGTAACATAGTCACCCTACATGTGCCATAAATTTACAACCACTTGCCTGAGTATTACCACGGAGATTTGCGCGTAAAATGTTAATAGACGTATAAGAGCGGTATAACTTTGTTTCATGACGTCGTGGAACTGACGTTGATCAACTTGAAGCTCGCGAAAGTTGTTCTTGAACTTTACTTAAGTTGATAACAATATTTACATTAAAACTTTCCATGCAAAGTTCATATCGCATACCGAGTATAATATTGGGTTAAATAAAAAATTACGGCCGTCATTTAATTATATCATTAAAAGACTGCTTCGATGGTCTAGTGGTTTAGCACACCGTTTACTTCCGATGGTCGCGGGTTCGATTCCTCGCAGGGTACAAATATTTGTATTCATAAGTTTGATTGTTTGTATCGGTCTTGTCTGAGTGTTTTCTCTGTATATTATGTACATATGTAATTTCAGAAACTGTATCTATGTATTCTATCAGTCGTCTAGTATCTATAACATTAATCTGCTGTGCGTGGGAATAGATGGCGCTGTGTAAAAAGTCCAGGGATATTATCACTTACTATCAGGTGGGTCGTAAACTTGTCTGCATTTACAATTATATAAAAAAAATGTATAAATTCAATAAATATATTTCAATTTAATATTCTGGATTTTATAACCAAACTTTGATAGCATAGTTTTTTCTCTTGATTTCTATGTTGGTTGTCGCATGCCTCTTACTTGTTATACTGTAATTATTTATATAAAAAAACATCTATTAAAAAGAGCAACACACAAGTTTCTCGCTCATTCTTCTTGTGATGGATCTGCATTCCGAATGAGTGGTAGAATCAAAATATGACTATTCAAAAGTGCTTGTAATGAGTTTATTTGAATAAAGATTATTTCTATTTCTATTTCTTGTTTTATGCATATCGTCTTTCACACAGTCCATCAATCTCTTTTTCAATCGTTTTCTCCTTAGTCTAATTACGTTAGTAATAAAAAATCCTACTCAATAAAAAGTATTTTATATCAAAGTAAGTAAACAGTAGTAAACTCTAAACCCGTGAAAAATGAGCTGAAACAGAACAAAATTAAAGCAATTAACACTAGCCGGAACGAGGGAGATAAATAAATCAATCGGACAACAGTTTTATTAGTTTGGGCGGGAAAAAACCTAACCTCAATCTCGAAACCTAATTCCGCAGCCATCCAGTCAATGAGGGTATTCTGGTAAATGTTCTAATAAATCTTTCGTCTTGTTATGTCAAAGAAATGAATATGTGATTTATACTGACTTTGCAAATATTGTACTGTTGGAAACTTCAACAAAAATAGGTATTGA